CCGAACTTAACCGAAAAAATAATTGGTACGGTTCTGGATATTTCATAAATATCCGTACCGAGAACCGAACCGAACCGTCCTGTCCCGTACCGAACCGAAACTAAGAACCGAGTTATAAAAATAGATGCGGGTTATTAATATGTTTTATGTCAACTTTGATTCTATATAATTTGACAATTTTTAAAATGCAAATAAAATATAGTAATAACAATTAAGATTCACTTACATTTCATGTTTAGTAATATTTGATCTACAAATGAATTTCTCATGTTAAAAAAAAAAATTAAAATGGAATGAAAGGTTAAAGATTTAAAAAAAAAATAAAGATTTAAAAAAAACAAGTTTTACTTAAAGTTGTTGATACATAGTCTTAGTTTATCTTATAACTAACATGGTATGGAAGGTTAAATAAATATTACTTTAATATATAACTGCATTATATTTTGTTTGAATTTTAAATTTTCAATGTTAGTTGAATTTAGTCTTAACTAAAATTTAGGGTTACTTCTAAAGTTGATTTAAAAATAAAATCTTTAGTATGATGAAGTATTGACGAATGTTGGATTTTTTTAAGAATATATATAAAAAATAAAATATAACTAGGTAGTCATTCAAAAAAAATTTAAAAGTGATAAAAAATCTCCGAGTATCCGAACCGAGTCAAACCGAACCGAAACGTTCCGATAGTCCCGAAAACCAAACCGAAAAATAAAAATCTCCGAATCGAACCGAACCGATTTGTGGTACTNAAACATATAAAAAATAAAATACAACTAGGTTGTCATTCAAAAAATTTTAAAAATGATAAGAAATCTCGGAATATCCGAACCAAACCAAACCGAACCGAACCGAACCGTTCCAATAGTCCCGAAAACCGAACCGAACCAAACCGAAAAATAAAAATCTCCGAACCGGACCGAACCGATTTTTGGTACGGTTCGGGAGATCGAATTTTAGTGATCTCCGAACTTCGGTACGGTTCTGGAGATTTATCAATCTCCGAACCATACCGACTCATGTTCACCCCTACCAACAACTCTCTTAAAGGCAGATAAAGACCACAACATGGAGAAATGACGTTCTTACCCCTTTGGAAATTGGAAAGAGATAGAAAGAGTTGTGAGTGGAATTGTGGAAGGAATAATAATAATATGATAAAGAGAAGGGTGGCACAAATGCCATGGACAACGAACTTGTCACCACGTGAAAGATGCTTTTGCTTGGTTTCGTCTTCCACAACCATTGATTTAGGTATCTAGCATAACTCCTTTATTATGTTGTTTCATTTATTAGGGTCCAAAGATCATGTCAAGTGAATGAGTGACAGGTGACAATGATTCATGTTAACCTGTGAATCTTGTGGGTTGTGGATTACAATACAAGTACATAATTGAGGCCCTGCCTGTGTAGAGATTCTTAATTAACTTGCTCTCTTTCCTTTTGTTTACACTTTGTTAAATTCCACTTAAATTGTAGATGGGGTATATATCATTTGAAATCGAATTGAGATGATTATTAGGTTGACCCCAATCATATGCATGGAAAAACATTAGTTAAAACGAGAGGGTTTGTTTTACATTGCTAGGGCATCTATAGTGGTGAGGTTTTGGGAAGTTTAAAATCGTAAACTCTCGGGTTTATTGTTAAAGAAGGCAGATTTGAGGTTTGAGTTTTCAAACCAGCTCTACAAACACAAACTTCTCCAAAACCTCATGTTGGCCCACCTGCCACACTGACAATATCTTACCTCTTTTTTTTTTAATTGTCCATTGTTGAACCCCACTAAAATTTTGTCCTATATATAATTTGACACTACACGTAAAAAGTAGAATTATTTGTTAAAGAAGAATTAATTAAATGAAAAAAAAAAGAATTATTTGTTAATTAATTCTTATTAACTTTATTGGTGAAAAATAAAATTTTCTGTTTGTAAAATTCAACTATCTTTGTTAAAATTTGACATCCCAATTTTTACTCACATTCTTTTTTTGTTTTTTATTTTTTTTTTATATTTGTTTTATAGAATTTTCCTCTCATTTTTCTGTTATTTTACAATTGATTTACATTATAAATATTTTCTACTTGGAATTGTCCCATCTTTTAATAATTAATAATTAAAGTTATAAATTTTATATTATCTAAATATAATAATATTTTAAGTTTTAAAATGTATTTATAGTTTTAATAAACATAATTGTAATGATCATGATAAATATAAAAGTATGATTTAAAATAACAATTGAAAATAAGGTATTTTCGAACAAAAACGAATACTAGCAATCTTTGTTCCTAAAAGAAAGAAGTGAAACGAGGTAGTTTGGTTTAAAAAAAATAGAGTTCTTGACAATCCAAAAAGAAAAATAAAATAAATTAATTGAAATAAGAACGAGTTCCAATTGTTGTCGAAATATAACAATTGTATTTTCGAACAAGAACAATCTTCAACAAAACTTGCTTGTAAAAGAAAGAAGTAAAATGAATTTTATAAATAGGTTTTATGTAAACAATCGTTGTATACCTAGAAGCTAATATTTTATTTTGATTATTTACTTTTACTTTTCTATATTCTTGATGTTTTAAAAGTAAAATTTGAATAAAAGGATTGTGTTATCACATCAAATAACATAATCTGCTGTTATTTTCAATTGTGTGCTAATTTTAATTTTATTAATACTTTTAATATATTTTTCTATTAATTTAATTGTAGTAAAATATTTTGTTATCACACATCAAAAATAAAAGCCGCCATCTTATTTGATTGCATGTGTCAATTTGCATCTATCATTCAATTTGCATAAAAAAATATTGTGTTGTCAATTTGCATTTGTCAATGTCTGCCCACCCTTTTTATCACAAACTAGTATTGGATCGTGTGCATTTGCACAGACATAAACAGGTTTTTGTTTGTATTTATTAATTAGACATGTACTTCTATCATATAAAAATTATTACTTTTTCTTAAGTTATTTTTATCATTCAAAATTATTTGAGATTTAAATTTTATTTTAATCATGCAACGTTTACATTAGGAACATGAATAAAATAATTTATATATTTGTGGTATATATTAAAAAAATTAACATAAATAAAAAAAATTATTGGTGTTTCTGATTTTTAGAAAAGAAAAATGTGCCAATCATATTTTTCTTCTAACAATGCAACCAAATATAGCGGTTACAACTCTGAATATGTCAATCAACTTTAAGTTCCAACATTAGCCGTTACACATTTGAATATTTTGCTACTAAATTTAGAATTAATTTAGTAATTGATTCCAAAAATAAATAATAAAAAGTATATATATATATATATATATGTATATATATATATTAAGGTGTAACGGTTGTAGCAGATTAGTGAATAATTAATTAAAAAAAATATAACTCCTTTTGGAGGAAAATGAAAATAGATTTTATTAAATGTTTTATTAAATGCATCAGCTAGTAATTATATATATATATATATATATATATATATATATATATAAATGCGGAAATAATATTTTCCACTTTAAATGGAGTGCCCATAATAAAAATTATGACCATCATCTTTGCAGAAGGTTTTCAGAGGTCCTTTGTATCCATTTATTTGAACAATATCAACTTGCAATACGAAATGTTTATAAATTAAGTTGTTTGGTATGATGTTATGCATTACACGCTCATAATTAAAAAAACAAAAAAAAGTTCATACACCTCTATTTTATATTTCTCTGGAGTTGTAATGGATAACAATTCATACAGATCCAACCCAAATTTGCCAAACTCATCGGAGGATGACAGTCTGCCTTCTATAAGTTCACGGTATACACGAAATATGCAATTTACTCAATTTACTAAAATGCAACTACAACCCCACTTTCAAAATTTCCTTTTCAAGTACTCACACTAATGCCTTCTTATCCAATTTCACAAACTTCAGAGCAATCTTCTTTTCCTCTATCACCAAATTTAATGAACATGAATCAATCTCAGTATATGTGGTCAATGTCGCCCCAATATGGTATTCCAAATGCATTTGGGATGACTTATCAACAAGGAAATTTCATTCCAACCAGAGTCTCTAGTAGCCCCATTGGAGTTCCAAGACCTTGTACAATCCCGAAGGGTGAAAGACTCGACAACATAATTGATACAAATTTAGAAAAAGCAAAAGAAGTTGAGCCTAAAAGACGCGATAAAGCGACAACAATACTGTGGACACATGAAGAGAGATGTTTTGTGAGTTTTGAACATTTACAAAAACTAGAAATTGGGTAAGATTCGGAGAAAATGGCTCTAGTGAATAGTTTTTGAAATTTGGAAAAAATTCAAAGTTCGACAAATTTTAAAAATTTAAGTAATATTCAAAATTTAGATCCATATGATATTTGTTGAAAATTAGGAAAAATGAAAGAGATGATAAAATTAATAAGGTATGATTAAGAAAAGAGTGAAAAGAGAGAAATTGTAATTGTGTTCAAAACCTATCAAGT